GTAGAGATTGTTGGGTTTTGTTTTGTTCCTACTTCCAACTATGTCCCTACTTTTTTTATGTGTGTTGCTTTTTTAATATTAAAAACAAAGGGCAAAAGTGACATTTCATCCAAAAGTAATATAACTTATTTCAATATTTGAATAATTATCACAGAAACCAAACGATGTAAACTACAATACAACAATTTTCTTATATACATATATATAATTATACATACATTGATAACAATGCATCAATTTAACTATCACCAAAACCAAATTCAGACCAGATATTTAATTAGGTATAAGCTCAAATATAAATCTTAAACTAGAGCATAAAGACTAACATTTTTTTAATCATTCCCAAACTAAATCATGATCATGATTCATGAAAGTATGGAAAAACTTCCTTTCAGATTTCAATAAGGAGAAGAAAGCTAGGTAGAAGAAAGTAAAAATTAACTAATCCAGTATTATTGGTTTCTTGCAAAAGTATCCAAAGATATTTTTTTTATTTTAATCCTGTGGATGACGTGGACCAATCAGCTTCGAGATTCCCAACCTACCAGTACCAGCTTCAGAGACTTCACTCAGTCCCTCCTTCCCTTCTTCTCCTCCAATTTCTCAGCAACCAAACACTCCTGTCTCTCCCCACTGACCGCAACCATGGCAGCCGCCGCAGCAATCTTCCTCTTCCTCCTAATCTCCTCCGCCGCCGCGGCGCCAGAACCCCGCCCCCAAACCTTCATCGTCCACGTGTCCCAATCTCACAAGCCGGCCCTCTTCTCCTCCCACCGCGACTGGTACGCCTCCATCCTCCCCCACCCTTCCGCCCTCCTCTACACCTACTCCCACGCCGCCGCCGGCTTCTCCGCCTCCCTCACCGCCGACCAAGCCTCCCGCCTCCTCCGCACCCCGGGGATCCTCTCCGTCGTCCCCGACCAGATCCGCCACCTCCACACCACCCACACCCCTTCCTTCCTCGGCCTCTCCCCCTCCTCCCCTCTCTCCCTCAACTCCGCCAACGGCGACGGCGTCATCATCGGTGTCCTCGACACCGGGATCTGGCCCCTCCACCCCAGCTTCGACGACGCCGCCTTCCCCGCCGCCGCCGACAAAATCCCAGCCAAGTGGCGCGGCGTCTGCGAGTCCGGCAAGGATTTCCCCGCCGCTGCTTGTAATCGAAAGGTCAGTCAGTCGAATTTCTAGGGTTTTTGAACTCACGAGAACCGTAGATAAGTAGTTGATTTCTAGGGTTCTTAAGCAAATCGAATTGATTTGGTAATAAGGCTTATTTGAGCTCTCACAAGAGTGAATTCAAATTGGATTGACGATCGATTTCTAGGTTTCATCGTGGTATTCAAATCAGCTGATTTTAGAATCCTTGTTTTCTACCAGCTGATCGGAGCCAGAGCATTTTACAAAGGATACGAGAGCTACAGGGGAAGGCCGATCGACGAGACGAAGGAATCGAAATCTCCGAAAGATACGGAAGGGCACGGCACCCACACGGCGTCGACAGCCGGCGGATCCGTCGTGACGAACGCCAGCCTGTTCGGCTACGCCGCCGGCGACGCGCGGGGACTGGCGCCGAGCGCGTGGATCGCCGCCTACAAGATCTGCTGGTCGCCGGGATGCTTCGATTCCGACATCCTCGCCGCGTTTGACCAGGCCGTTGACGACGGGGTCGACGTCATCTCCCTCTCCGTCGGAGGCAGCTACCCGCCTCCATACGACAGCGATTCGATCGCTATCGGAGCTTTCGCGGCTGCGAAAAAAGGGATCGTCGTCTCCTGCTCGGCGGGGAATTCCGGGCCAGGAGCTTACACGGCTACGAACATCGCTCCGTGGATCTTGACCGTCGGCGCGTCTACCGTTGACCGTGATTTCCCTGCCGATGTTGTGCTCGGAGATGGAAGCGTGCACCGCGGAGTTTCGCTTTACGGTGGGGATGGTCTGCCGGAGGGGGAACTTTTGCCTCTGGTTTACAGCGCCGATTGCGGGAGCAGGTACTGCTATTCCGGCAACCTCGACCCGGCGAAGGTGAAAGGCAAGATCGTGCTCTGCGATCGCGGCGGGAACGCGAGGGTCGAGAAAGGAGCGTCGGTGAAGCTCGCCGGCGGTGCTGGGATGATAATGGCGAACACTGATTTAGAAGGAGACGAGCTTCTCGCCGACGCTCATCTCATTCCCGCCACCATGGTGGGAGCGACGGAAGGGGACAAAATCCGCGCCTACATTCAATCCGCCGAATCTCCCTCTGCCACTATCCAATTCAGGGGAACTGTGATCGGAGAAGACACCCCGCCTGCTCCTAAAGTGGCATCGTTTTCCAGCCGGGGACCGAACAGGGTCACGCCGGAGATCCTCAAACCGGATGTCATCGCTCCCGGCGTCAACATTTTGGCTGGCTGGACAGGCGCCGCAGCACCATCGGACTTGGAAATTGATCCCAGAAGAGTTACTTTCAACATCATTTCAGGTACAATTTGTTCTTAACCATCTTATGATTTTGATCAATTTGCTAGAAATTGGATACTTACTGTTCGATTTTGATCAAATTGATGCTAGGTACTTCAATGTCCTGCCCACATGTTAGCGGCCTAGCCGCATTGCTCAAGGGAGCACACCCCGATTGGTCTCCGGCAGCAATTAAATCGGCTATGATCACGACGGCGACAACATTCGACAACTCCGGGGAGAACATCAACGATCTGGCCACTGGCAAAGGGACGACTCCGTTTGTTTACGGTGCAGGGCATGTTGTTCCTAATGCCGCTGTGAGCCCGGGGCTGGTTTACGACCTCAACACGACAGACTACGTCTCGTTCCTCTGCTCGAGCGGGTACAGTGCCTCGAGGATCGCGGTGATCTTCGGCGAGCCCATTGCGTCGGACGTCTGCGAGCATGCACCGGCGCTGACCGCCGGTCCGGGGGACCTGAACTACCCGTCGTTCTCCGTGGTGTTCAAGCCGAAATCGGATGTGGTCACGTACAAGAGGGTGGTGAAGAATGTTGGGAGCTCGGTGGATGCGGTCTACGAGATCAAAGTGAATGCTCCGGTGAACGTGGATGTCCAGGTCTCGCCCACGAAGCTCGTGTTTAACAAGGAGAGCTCGTCTTTGGCGTATGAGATTACGTTCTCGAGCTCTGTTGTGGGTTTCGATAATGGTGCTGCGAGTCAGAGCTTTGGGTTCGTGGAGTGGAGCGATGGAGTGCATAAGGTGAGGAGTCCTATTGCTGTGCAATGGAGGCAGGGAGGTTCTGTGGAGTCTATTTGAAGGGGCATGCCATTATCTATCATTCAAGGTGAAGACATTTTCATGGTCTTTTGCGTTAGGTTTCTGCCTGGTGCAGTGGTTGGATTATAATAGGACGCTTGCTTTTTTTGCTTGTGCTACGTCGGTGGATTAATTGCCTCTGGTTTTCTCCATTGATTGTGGAGGAAAGAATGTACATATGTACCATCTCAAACTCGATGTTGTGGATCATATGATGCTAACTCTACGGGGGTTTAGCAAGCTTGGTTGAGAATGAAATTGCAACAAATTAACTCCACAGACTTTCATTCTCTATGTTTCTAACGAAACCGGAAAAGTTCGTAGTTAACCGTTACGAACTATTAGTTAACCGGCTAACCGCTGATAATATCGTTCATCTGTTAAAATTAGTAATTCATATTGGATGACCTCATAGTTTATGTCAAGGTATTATTATTATTATTATTATTTGTGGTTAGATTGTGAACCATTGGAATCGTAAAACCAGAATGGTTCATCTGATTTTATGTCAAACCATTAAAAAATTGTTTGTTCTATCCCTAACCATCTAAGCCATTGGTTTAGTAATTCTACTAGTCTAGCTGCTGGTATGGTTGGGTTCTTATAACAATTATTTGACCACATGAGTAATGACCCTAATTTTTAGCTAACACTACTAACTGATTAGCTAACATGACTGCATACTTGATCATGAAGTTGTCAAATTTTGTTGCGTTGACTCTTAAACACCCAAGGATCTGGGATGGGTTTGAATACGTAAGCCTTCAAACCTAAGTATTTTAAGTCATTCATGTTCATTAGATTAATCTAAATAATTAATAGATAGCAGTTAATGGATGATTAACGATAATTAAGGGACTAGTTTGGAGATGAATATAGTAACAACACCCCTAGCCATGCAAAGTTATAACCAAAAAAAATCCAAGGATATTCTTCTTTCATCAGTTTTTAAGATGTGAAAGTCTTTAGTCTCCTCTTCAACTTTTTTCCATCACGTACTTAGACTTGTGAAGAATTTTCCAGCAATCTGAAAATGATTCATGTAGACTTATGAATGACGCTTGACAAATGACAAACCACGATGTATGTTTGTTTCGCTCTTAGATCTAGGTTCAAATTTCATATGGGGATGGGACTGCAGATTGATCTAGTGTAAAATGTGAGAAGTGTGTGTCAGCTATCTTCACTTACACCATCATAAATCTCTCATTCAGTTTTTGTTTTTGGGTTAATTGGAGTTTGCATTGGGCCAAATTAATCATTAGTATGTTAGTTGACAATTTTTATCTGCTGAACAATAAAACATTACACAAGCCAACGCCACCAGCCGATATGGAGAACAAAATGCTCCGCCCATGCTGATTACGACGAAAGAGAACACAGTAGAGAAAGGGCTAAATTACACGTTTGGTCACTCAAATTATACTAATCTTTCACGTTTGCCACCCGAATCACTTTTCTTTCTTATTCGCCACTAACTTTACGGATCGTTTCATCATTAGTCACTGGCCGTCCAATTCCGTTAAAATCATCCTACGTGGCAGTCAACTAAATCCTTTGACCGTTAGTTTGATGACGTGGCAATTAAAAAATATATATATTAATTTTAAAATTAAAAATATTTCTCTTCCTTCCACTTCTTCTCCCGCAACACTTCTCCTCGAATCCATAAAGAGGCCATTCTAATTCAATTTAGAGGCTTTAAATACTTGATGCTAAATATTGAATCCCACTCAAGAAGCAAGGAAAGTAAATGTGATTTATCATTCATGCCCCAGTGGCGGAATAAAATGCAGATAGCTAGTCCTCTGTTTCCGTCCAGAGGGGACTTCAGCAATAAGGTGGCGGGGAATGAGGACAAGGATGTCCATGGCTTCCATCAGGGTTTGATTCTCCGACCTACCTTTTCCAGAATGTCCCCATCTAATTGGAGCGGAAATCCGAAACAATTCAGAATCGGCCGAATACATCACCGCCATCTCCGGCTAAGCCGAAAGGTACACTTACAGAGCCACAGCGCTCGGAGAATCTCGAGGGACCGGCTTCCACCGTAAACCCATCAACTGACGAGCTTGGAAACGTCGGGTTTGATTTGAGCTCCGGGGAGAAGTTTGGTCAGATCTCTGAGTCCTGGAGCAAGGACAAGGCGGCTATGGCACTTACCCTCCACCACGAGGTTGCTAAGGAAGAAGAAATGTCAGTGGCAAGCGTGAAGGAGAAAGAGAAAGAGAAAGAGAAGGATGTTTTTGTGGATACGGTTTCGGTAACGAAGGAGGAGGAAGTGATGGCGGTAGTGGATCCGTCAGACGCACCTCCTCCTCTGCTTCCGGTAGATCTACCGTCTCCGCATGTGCCCACTCCTTATCTCCGTCGTTGCCATCGCCTGCGAAAGTAGCTAAGAGGAAAGTAAAGGAGGATGTATAGATCTGTAGGTCAATCGCGAAGTAGTGATGGACGCGAGGAGAGAGAGTTACACATTGAAGATATCTACAAGCGCCGATCGGCGCCGGCGCCGCCACTCCACAGCTATTCCTGCCTCAGATCTATATACGAATTGATGATCATTAGGAGTTCGATTGGATTCAAGGAGGGAGGAGAGAAGTTTAAGGAAGATGAATATTTTTTAATTTAAAATTTATTTTTTGAATTTTTTAATTGCCACATCATCAAACTAACGGTCAAAGAGGCTAGTTGACTGCCACGTAGGATGATTTTAACGGAATTGGACGGCCAGTGACTAATGATGAAACGATTCGTAAAGTTAGTGGCGAATAAGAAAGAAAAGTGATTCGGGTGGCAAACGTGAAAGATTAGTATAATTTGAGTGACCAAACGTGTAATTTAGCCGTAGAGAAAGGTTCTAATAAGGAGAGCGGACATAAGGGATAGCATATACCAACATCTCAATTAATCACTTTTCTCAACCGGATAGAAAACTTACCCTGGACCTAAAACTGGGTGAAGGACAGGAAAGGGCCAAAGCCATAAGCAGAAAACAAGAGCTCTGCCCTATTATAGCACTCAGCTTAGTTAAAAAAAAAAACATAGGAACAAGTGTTTGTTTAGCGTTTTCCCTTCTGCAAATGCCAATTTACAAACTCCTTGGAAAGTCTTCTGAGACATGATGAAATTTGGTGGCACCCCCTGGCTATCACGTTCACGTCATAGACTCCACTAGTGCCCGTACTTCTGGAATTCCCACTCGCTGTTATCTGCAGATTGGACAAAGCCAATGTAAGATGTGGGATTTCCAGGCCTCAATGGAAGAACAGAGTTTGGACAATTGATAAAGAGTTTTTTGCATACCGAGAGGGCAGACTTGGCGGGTTTTCAACCAGCGGCTGATGCAGTGGAAGTGAAAAGCATGGTTACAGACACCTGAGCAGGGGATAGGAATTAGCATTGGTTCAGCGATCATAGAGTCAGACTAAGCAGGGCTGAAACATAATTGGTGTAGACCGCGATAGATGAACTGACAAATCCACCATTGTAAAAATAAGCTTAATGATCAACAGAGTCCTCCTCTACAAGGCATGAGAGTATGCTAAATTCACAAGTGAACAATATGCATTGGTGCCAGGCTGGTATAAGGGATAGGGACAGAACACAGTTGAGCACTCAACAAGGCAGAATCACAAGCTTTTCCATGCATAACAACGAGATGCGACTTATACAATCCAGAAAAGGAAGCAAATAGGCAAAACAAACCCCTGGAAGTATCAACTAGCATGCAGAAATCTAGACTTACTATAAGGTTCAGACATTCAGCTCAACATGATCTAAAACCCTCAAGGATGAACCTGATCCCCATGATATCTCGTCATAAGTCCAAAAAGAGCTCATAGTGAGCTTTCCTATACATATAATTCCTACTTTCAAAACCAAATCAAAAACAGATTACTAATACCGCAGTCTGAAGGTGAGCATAAGCTTATAACCCAACACATCCAAAAGTAGACAAAAATCATCCACTGACTCCCAACCATTGCGATCATTCTCCAATTTATAATGCTTTAAATTAATCTAACAGTACTACAAGCAGAGCATTCTCCACCTATCCTATCAGAGACATTCAAACCGGCAAGACAGTGACGATTATATAAGAATGACCCTCCCGGCTCGAGCCAATATACAAACTACTACTGACCACAAGCCTAACCATCCTGTACAGTTGCACGCAGTTAAGAACTTCACAAACCAAAACAACTCTAATCAATCTTCATAGTTCAATCCAGCTGAGACATTCACTGAGGGCAAATAGCTAAACACAGTCAATTAACCAAAAGAAGAAAGCACTCCCCAGTTACTGATAAATCCATTGCCAGAAACATCTTCTACATGAAGCTATACAGTTGACAATTAGACCCATAAAAAACAATTCAGGATTCGGGCAATCTCAGATACCAATAAGAACCAAGGCTTCGGACGAATTAAGTAAATAAAGGAATGCCTACCCCAAGCGACAGTGCACTCCTCACTGGTTGCGCTGGCCTGATTGGCTTGGCACTCGATGCCTGGCCAAGGCAAAAGCGAATCCCAATTACGAAAACGAACTCCAACCTATAAACAGTTATCGCGAAATCCAAAGAGACGAAGAAAAACTCACAGAGATCCATGATATGGTTCCTGCAAATTGCGCAGTTATCAACTACGATATCTGCACAGCGAGAAGAGAACAAAAATTAGAAGCAACGGTTAGCGCGACGAGGCTGTAGAGAGAGTTAGGGTTTCGTCGGACGAACCCCAAGCCCAGAGAGCGACGGCATTCCACTTCTTGATCTCGAAGCGCTTCGGCTTCTTGCTTGAAGACGAAGCTCCGGCGGCGCCGCTGGAGCCTCCCTCGCCGGCCGGAACCATGGCGACATCTGAGTCCATCTCCGTCGAGTGAAGGTTTTTAGGTTTCGTCGATAGACAGAGAGGAACTGAAGGATGCGATGCGAGTCTTTTGCGAGAAGCAACAGAATTGCGCTTTTGCGAGGTCAAGAAATTACGGGGGTGTCTTTATTTATAGAGAATGGAGTGGGCCGAGGATTTCGAGGAGGTCCAGCAATCTTCAGGATGGGCCACTTAGAAAGGGCTTTTCGCAATGGGCCTGTAACCGGTAAACCCTATTAGTATTCCTTGTGCTTTGAGGAATTGGAGGACCAAACTAAGCTTAGGAGGCAAGGATTTGGGCCGAATATGCTTAGATATCAACAATTAATTTTGGGTTGTTGGCAGACATACTTCCTTTACTCTCAGCACTTGGGTTTGTAATTGTTGGTTGGAATTACGATAGCGTGACTTGGTCTGTCATTCTTTATTAGTGTCATCTTTTCACATATTTACGAGACTCGATTTTATCAGTTGATTTCTTTCGTTTAGCAGTATCCGCGGGGTAAAACTCACTGGGTTTGAAAAACTCAAACCCAACCCAACCTGCTGGTATTCGCGGGTTCATGGGTACCAATGAGTTTTTGTCGTAAAAAATACACAATAACAAGTTCCTATCAAAATAAAAGTCAAATATCAATCTCTCAATACAAATTATTCACATATAAAACACTGTTCTATAAAATTCAAGCAAATCACAAATTAACCATACAAATTGTTCAACACCAATCTATAAAACTCAAGAAAATTGAAGCAAATCACAAATTATCCATAAACAACATGATTAATTGAAAGCCTTTTCCTCCTTGTCAATTAAGCTTCTCCACTCTCTACTCGATAATATCAACTTCATTCTACACAATTAGAAAGAAAAAATTAGACATGTCTCCACAAACATTAAGAAGATTAGTTGTTTAAATATTAAATATACCGGAAAAATTAATTATATAGGTGTGGGCGGGTACCCATAGGGCGGGTTTACCTAAACCCAAACCCAACCCAACCCGTTCAATAGTGAACGGGTTTAAGCCCAAAACCCGTCAACACGAGTTGGGTTGGGTGGGTACCCGTGGGTTCGGGTTTTGTTGCCATCCCTAATTATATGGACCCATTATGCATTAACCCTACTGTTAACCCACTATGATGTGATGTTTAACAGAAAGATAATTAAGACATACTACTAGTAGTCTAGCATCCTAGGTACGTGGATGTATGTATTAAATATGGCATAGTACATGGGTTGAAAACGACATTAAGTACGTACTTAGTTTAATGTAATAATCAAAGTTTGGCAGACAAGACAAGTATAGTGTGTGTATTGAGCCTAGCATTATTAATTATCAAGTCCGATCCACCTCGGCATCCTACAGCTATAAAAGTAAGAGCTATGGATGGGAGGTTGTCATTAAGGTGAAGATTAGGGGATTTGGTGGGGATTAAGATGCCTTAGTTAACTACTAATGAATTCACACTCCCTGTGCTCTATGAAATGTTGTTTGCTTGTCTTTGTCTTATCATATTCATATATTTATTGATTAGAGCAAATATATTGATCTCATAAAAGCCAGGATTATACTCAAAGAATCTCTTGAAAATCAAGAAGTCAGGCGAATTGCGAGTTCCAATAGTATCTCCCCATGTTCGCTTTGCATGATTTATCCTTTTCTTAACTACTATGTTTTTTTCAACATGGATTGATGCTCTTTCTTTCTGTTGCCATCACAAACTATGGGCAGCTCAAATTCAGATAAATTCAGATCAAATAAAAAAATTGAAAATAACAATCGGATCAAAAGTATGTAAGGTTCGATTAATTTGGTTCGACTTATTTTAATTCGTATTTAATTTCGATCCACTTTTCCTTCATATTTAAGATAATTTGTAAGATAAAAAACTGAATCGTAACATATTCCATCCGATTTGATTCGGCCCAAGTATCAATTTGACATAATTTAGTTCAATGTAAACCGAATCTTTGCCCACCCCCACCCTTCACTGTCTAACTCCCTACGGAACTCAATAAAGAATATTTAAGTTTAAGTTTGGTGTCAAGTTTCTTTATCAAAAAAAAAAGTTTGGTGTCAAGTTTAGTTATAGGGACCTAAAATTTACCATAGGGCTCAATTACTTTCACCTAACTTTAGCGCTAACCATTTTCATTACTCCGACGTGGTATTGGAGTCCGATTGCCTGACTTTAATCCAGAAAATGCATCACCCGGAAGAACAACATGATGAGGTTGGTGTATTGTGCCGTAGCATACGCCGTTTATTGTTGGCATCGGGGCAAGGTGGATGGAAGCATATCAGCCGTGAAGCTAATGAAGCGGCTCATCTTATGGCTCATACAGAGACCAGGTGGAACGAGAGGGTTGTTTGGGTGGATCAACCTGTTGACACCTAAAATTAATTTGGCCGGGATTAAATGCCGCATTAATTAGTCTCGGCATTTAATTTGATGCCGCGGGTTAAAAAACGGTATCGTTTGGAGTTAAAACGGTACCGCAAGGGAGCTCACCGGTACCGCAAGGAAGCTGACCGGTACCGCAACACCGGAAACGACACCGCATGCCGAAAATAAAGAGGCCGCTCGTTTAATGAAGGGTGAGGAGGAATTGTGATTATTTAATTATTATTTGTTATTCCTTTGGAGTAAAACGGTACCGCAAGGAGGCTCAGCGGTACCGCGGTACTGGAAACGATACCGAAGAATAAAAAAAAAGAAGAAGAAGAAGAAGAAGGGCCGCGCTTGTGGTGTCTTATGGGAGAAGGAGTTTTGTTTTGAATTAATTAATATTTTTAATCCTTGTTGGAGGAGGAAAATCGGTACCGCGAGAGCTTGGCAAGCGGTACCGATGGGCAAGTGACCAAAATTCACACGTCCCAATGCGAGCGCCGACTCCGGCGGTACCGTGGATTAATATTTTTTGGCTAAATCGTCGGTGTCGTTTAATTTAAAACGGTACCGCGAGTAGGCCCAACGGTACCGCGGATTAGCAAACGACAGTGTTTAATAAAAAAACAATGTCGCAAAAGGAAAAACAAACGGAGCCGTTTTGGCTCTAACGATGTTGTTGGTCGTGGACTAGGGATGGTCAGTTAATTAATATTTTAATGACTTTTTAGCACGGTGTCGTTAGTTGGAAACGATGCCGCAAAGGAAAAAAACGATACCGTGAGCCGGCCAAACGATGCCGCAACCGTTAAAACGACATTGTTTAAGATTAAAACAGTGTCGTGAAGCTCAGAAATTCAACGACATCGCGGGACAAGGAAACGATGTTGTTTAACTAAAAACGACGCCGAGGGGTGAGAGTTTGGCGGCGAGAAAACAATGCGGGTGTTTTAATTAATTAGTATTTTATAATTATGTTAGACGGCGTCGTTTAGTTGAATACGACGCCGCGGAAGGTAAAAACAACCCTGCGGTACTAGGAAAGGAACGACATTGTTTAGTCAAAGACAATGTTGCAAGAATTTAACAGTGTCGTGAAAGCGATGTTGTTTTGCCCAAAACAAGGTCGCGAGCTCGACGACGTTGATGAGCTTTAGTTCAGTGTTGAGAAATTCAACAACATCATGAATTCAATAAAGTTGGGCATCAATGGTGGGAATCCAACAATGCCGGGATACTAAGAGCTACGTCAATGTTGTAAGCCATGATATTGTGAGTGCATCGATGTTGCAAGGCTGGGAGCTCAGCGTTGCGGGGTTGTTTGTAATACGCCGCCGTTTTATGAACAAGGATGAATGTAGTGTGGCTTGAGGAGTTGGGGTGGATTATCGAACCCGGGTGGATGATTACAAGGGTGGCTCAATGTCGTTTTGGCAAGTTGCTGCGTAGCAAAGCGGTTTCGCACTCGTGGGAGTTACGCAACAAGGAGGAAGTTACATGCACGGTTGCCAGGAGTGAAGACGTGGGAGACAAAGGCGCGAAGGCAGTTACTCTGACGAGAAGAAGCGCGAAGTATAAAGATTGGGAAGAGAGAGAAGTTAAGGACGAAAAAATCAAATCACAACTGCACCATTGCAGAATTATCTTTTTTCTCTCTAGTTTCGTAGAACCGCTCTGTCAAAGAACTCCTTTGCAGAGTCGTAGATCGTAGCTTGTAGTCGTAGTCGCGGAGCTCTCCAGAGGAACCTCCATAGGAGTAGAGGTAACGTAACTTAGAACACTCCTGGTTCGATTTTCTGTTTATTCGAACACCCTCGTTCGAACGTAGTTTGGAGAGGTGTTGAACCGAATAACAGTTGTTTGATTAGAAGTCAAAAGTGTATCGATCAAATCAACGACGCCGACACCGGCGGCGGCCATTTGACGATCGTTTTTGTTTCTACTTTAATCGATCAAATCAACGGCGCCGACACCGGCGGCAGATATTTGACGATTTTTTGCTGATTTTGTGTTTGTGTTTACTTGAAACCAGTGCACATTGAACACGCGAGTTTCGCCAACGAAACACAACCACCAGTTTTTCTTATTGATCAACTGTTGCAGGATAATGTAACCGCTTCGATTGATTGATTAATAAAGCATTCACAGTTTCCTGTAAAAAAAAAACTTTAGCGCTAACCAAAACCTATACAATGGGTGATTTTCTTTCTTAGTTGAATTCATCAAAAGAGATGAGAATCGTAACATGAATAAGGAATATATTTTTCTATCCGTCGCTAAGTTTATACACACGATCTCAAACTCCATTACCTCATTACATTACATAGGTAAGATTTGGTACATCAGGCGTATAGTATATACGTAAGATACTACTAGTGAAATATTTCTATCTAGACCATGAATTAAATCGAGTTGGGGGGTATGATCAGTGGCGGATTCGGAAAATTTTCACAGGGGTGTCCTCTTCAAAAATAAAATTTAATTAAATAATAAATTAAATAATTAATATATTAAAAATATCATACTTGTATAAATTTTTATTAAAATTCATGATGTGTTTTCATATTTTGAAAAAAATAATATAAAATAAATTTGTGTCTACACTGTTCAAAAAAAATCAACATATCCTACTAGACAATACTTCACGAACTTATCACATATTTGATTTCTAACCTTGTTCTTAATGTAGCTCAAAGTAGAAAAGACTCTTTCAACACTTGTCGTGTAACCATAAAATCAATTCAAAATTAAGGGTAGTGTGTACGTAGTTTAATTATTAGATATTGAAAATAGTTGGGGATAAAGAAATAGCGTTTTACTAGTTGCATGATGTTTAAAATAGAATAACAAATGAGTAGCAACATAATTAGAATATGTTTGATAATAGTAGTGTCCTAGGTTGGAATAACACGGACTACCACTTATATTTTGTTAATCATAAGCAAACTATTATCGAGGGTAGGATAATCATTTTTTCAAATGTTAGGGTGTCCCGAATTACCAATTATATTTTTTATACCCATACGAAACTACTATCGGAGGTTGGATAATCGTTTTCCCAAATTTTAGGGGTGTCCCGGGACACTCCTAGAAGCCCATGTATCCGCCCCTGGGTATGATACTATACTCTAACCTCTAATGGATAAACCCCAGACACCGATTTTCTAAACCCCAACCCGAAGTTAGATTTAATGAAAAACAAAAATTAACCGTTGAGATCGGCCGGAGCTCATCTAAGTACATCTAACGGCTTGATCACCCGACGTATAGTATACGCCTGATGTACACCGATTTTCTAAACCCCAACCCGAAGTTAGATTTAATGAAAAACAAAAATTAACCGTTGAGATCGGCCGGAGCTCATCTAAGTACATCTAACGGCTTGATCACCCGACGTATAGTATACGCCTGATGTACACCAGTCATTACACATATTATATATATAAAAAGAAAAATAAATATTAAACTAGAACAAGAGAGGATGCCTTCAAATACCATCCATATATTAGGTCAACTCCCCCATTCCATCTCTTCATTATATGCAAAAACATTTCTCCCCCCTTTCTCTCCCTCCACAACCTTCACATGGCTTCTCCCTCCTCCGCCGCCGCCAAGAAACCACCGCCACCGCCATCATCATCTCCCTACATCACACCGATCCTCCTCCCCCGGCGCCCGCGCCTCCACCGCCTCCTCCCCCACCGCCGCCGCCGCCACCTCCCCACCGTCCGCCTCGGCCCGCGGACCCCCCGCCGCCTCTCCCTGACGCGAATGCTGCGGCGCGTGCGGCTGCGGTGGCTGAAGCTCCGCCACTCGCAGCTGTTCAAGCGGCTGAAGGAGTACTACCGGGGACTGGTGAAGGACATCATCGAGGCCGGCGCCACCATCGAGGCTTACCAGCAGCGGCTCATGATGGAGACCAGCCTCGCCGTCCCCATGGGCGTTTCCTTCTCCAGCTTCCCCTCCATCGCCGCCGCGGCCGGCGGCGGCGGGAGCCGCCGTTTCTGATCATATATCAACCATGAAGAATTTTGTACAAACCGTCCGCTTTTGAGCCCTTTGTGAGATCCAATTCTCAAATCTTTTTTATGAAATGAAGAAGAAAAGCGTTATATTATCATCATCAAGGAGAGCCAATTTGTATCTTTATAAATATGAACCCATAATAATATCGATGACGTTGTATTATGAGTTTTTATTTTTGTTTCATTTAATTGTTACTTCTTATCTTCTCCGACTTGTTTTCTGTAGTTCATTTCGTTTATTTTATGTAGGGGTGGGCATTGGGTGGGTCGGGTGGATTTTGACCATAAAATGCACCCACCCGCGCTTAAACGGATTGATAATTTTTAACCCACCACCCACCCACATTTAATCTCGGGTTGGGTCGGGCGGATGGTGGATGATGCGGGTGGGTTTGTGGGTTCACCCACATCACAATGTATATAATATAAAGGAGTCAACTTGACATGATAATAGGTGAAGAAAATCATCAAGGGAAACAAGAAGTTGAAATAGGGCGAAAAATTTCGAATTAGTTCTTAAATTGGATAGAAATACTATTGTGAAAGAGTTTTCTACAGATTGAGACGATTATTAGGTGCAATGAACTAAGGAAAATAATTTCACAAAGGAAAGAGCGGTGATCTAGGCACAAGAATTAGAGGAAAAAGTAAAGGAAAGAAGAGGGGATCTCTTTTTGGAAGGTTGGCTTTGAGGTTCAAACTCCAGGAGCAGTCCGAGTTTATATATAACGTCTCCACTCTCCTCTCTCTAGCACCAACGACTTTGATCTTTCAGCTGTTGGGTTGAGCGGGTCACCCGCACACTCACCCACAACCCACCCACCACCCGGCGGATGGCTCCCAGCGCAACCCGTCACCCACCCACAGACCCACCCACTTAACGAAATTCGGGTCAAATGCGGGTGGGTCGGCCCAAACCCGCGGATGATCCGCCCGCATGCCCAGCCCTAATTTTATGTATGAGTTCTTTTTAGGCTTAATTGCAAGTTTGGTCACTCGAATTGCTATAAAATTTCACGTTTGCCACTCAAATTAATTTATTCCATTTATAGTCACTCGAATTAGTTGGACAGTTCAAGTTCGGTCACTCTCCGTTAACCTCCGTTAACTTTGACTGACGTGGCGGTCAACTCTGACAGTTGACCGTTAAATGTGTGACGTGGCAAATAAAAATAATTAAAAAATAAAAATTAAATTTGTAAAAATTACACATCATTATCACAAAAAATTATAATTATAAAAAATGAAAAAAAAGGAAAAGCTCGTCAATCATCTTCCCCGCGCTCACATAGACATCGAACGCCTTCACCGTGTGGGCGTACTCCATCTCAGCGAATCGATCGAGCATGACGGTAAGGACCTCGACTATCTCCATGTACAGAGCAAAGCTCTCTTTAACCACCTGCTGAAACGCCACCAGCACCAACCTGTTGGTCCTCCGGCGCGGCCCTCTACCTTCCTCCGGTCCCGCTGAAGGAGCCGGTCTCAGCATGCTTGAAAGTGGAATTCGGATTCACTCCTTACAGCGAGAGGCTGAACAGGCGGATCGCGTTTCTCGGGCTGGTGGTGTTGCTGCTGCTGGAGCTGGCGACGGGGAAGAGCGTGCTCAGCTACCACACCCCGTCGATCGTCCTCGTCCTCGTCCCGATCTAATTCTTCACGAGAAACAAAAGAAGATGTCTCTAGTCACAGAAGAGATCAGGGCTAAAGCCACGGAGGTCTACAATGACGAGCTTGCGAACAAGTATTATAAGAAAATGCTGAAGTGGCTGGATGCTGAATTAGAGTGGGTGTCGTCGTAATTCACGTTTGTGTTCGCTGTTTACATTCATTTATGGTGTTTTGTTGAAATGTTTAGTACTCGTTGATTCGATTATTTGCTTGCCGGTGTTAAAATTGATTTGATCTCATGACGAATCGATGATCTGATTCAATGTCCTATATATATACATTGTAGTTCGCCTCCGGACAATGAAGAACTGATGAGAAAGGACAGCGCCTGCGTTGCAGAAGCAGCTTTGAAACATTACAACGAGAAGGAGGTATTATTGGGTTTGGTTTACCTTTTTCCCCCCTCGTGTTTCTTAGTTGATTTGCCCCCTATCCATTACTTCAATTCTCCGGTTCCCAGACCTCGATCGATCGATTTTTTCGTTATGGATGAACAGGGGACGAAGTATGTGTTTGATGAATCCTTCCTCTGCCGTTGCATTTTCCTTTTTTTTCATTTTTTATAATTATAATTTTTTGTGATAATGATGTGTAATTTCTACAAATTTAATTTTTATTTTTAATTATTTTTTATTTGCCACGTCACACATTTAACGGTCAACTGTCAGAGTTGACCGCCACGTCAGTCAAAGTTAACGGAGGTTAACGGAGAGTGACCGAACTTGAACTGTTCAACTAATTCGAGTGACTATAAATGGAATAAATTAATTTGAGTGGCAAACGTGAAATTTTATAGCAATTCGAGTGACCAAACTTGCAATTAAGCCGTTCTTTTTATCATTAGTTTGAGTTACTAGTGATAGAAATATGGAATGATCTATGGGTCTGACATTGTTGAATAGCGAAAAGGCGATCATTATAGAAGTCTCTATAATTTACGAGTATTTTAATCATCGAATCGGAATATAAATGATATGAAAAACGTAAAAATATATGTATCGATTGTTTATATTTAAGAAATGTAATCTCAACAGACGATTATTTATGAAATTAAAGTTAGCAGAGCGTCATATTATTCACATAAAATTATTGCATTGTGGACATACGTTGGCACAGTTAATTTTGAGCGCAGAAAAGGATAATATTCTGACCAGTACTTAACAGTTTATGAGCTAAAAGTAGTAAAAAAGCAGTACGTAGTATTCCAAATTAATGAAAATGAGGCCGTTTTGCTGTACCTTTGATTTAAAGTTTTGCCAAATCAAGTATTTGAGATGTTGGGTGGAAAATGGAAATAATTTGGTACAAAATTCAAGCCAAGCGTTAGCCCTGATAGATTTTTTGTTTGTTTGTTTGTTTGCTATATATGTGGTGGGATAACGGAATTTGTTTCCATAGTAACATTCTTTTTTCCTTGCTAGTAACATAAATCTCAAATTGAAAAACCGATACGGTACAAGCTTGCAGAAGTGTTCGTTAAGAAAAAGCATGGTGGAAGCAAGGTTTGATTATACTAACTACGTGGGTTAATTATGAAGATTAACCTTCTTATTAACATGTTTTTCATTACTAGAGGTGGTAAATGATCGTGAACTATTAACTCGATAATAATATATTCGAATTATTTTGAACAATAAAGTGGTTCAAACCTAAAAAGGAGTTAGATCATCCTCGCTCATCCTACCTTTGTTTTCAAAGGTCGATACTAAATCATTTATCTTGTTTGTTGTCTTATTTCGAGAGCAAAATCTTGGAATCGAAGTCTGGCATTACTACTTACAAGTTACAACCACTTAATTATAGTTGCGTTAGCGCTCGAAATTTTTAGGTTGGATATTATTGTGTTTAGATTGTTCTTTTTTCATGTGTGCTAGATAAAAGTGACAACCTAACAATCTGCCTATACAAGATAATTAAATTGAATAATCAGCTGGATGGGAATTCAAAAGGAGTGGCGTTAGGTTAGATGTGCCTGTTGGATGACATTCTTTTTTATTTTAATTACGTCATTAGAGCTAATAAGACGCAATGCAACTTTGCCTTTTACATTGTGTTTGTAGTGGTTCTGCGATTTTCAGGTTCATTAATCCAAAAAAAAATTATATTTACCGACAAGTTCAATAAAATAGAAATGAACAAGGGTTTGGACTAATTGTAATATCACTGACTTGGAACCTGAAGGTGTCAGGTTCCAATCCTTTAAATAATAAATAGTATTTTAATCACAAGAAAATAAAATCTATATCACCCTTATAAAAGTAAGTTGATTAAAATAAGAATGAAAAATGAAAAACACACATAAAATCAGTTCTAACCAAGGTTGACAACCCGTGGGTCGATCCGGACCCGGTCGAGCTAGTGGGTCAAGGGTTAATGGGTCATCCGTTTTAGCTCGGTTTAGTCCAAAAATTTGAAAAAGGCATTATATTGTACTTATTTTGAATCCAACATTAAAAAAAAACAACCCTACTTAAACTCCAACATACTTAAATAACATCAACTTAAATTCAACATAGTAAAAATTCAACGACACTTTGGAACGAGCAGCCCGCTGACCCGCTCGGACGGACCATCTGCTTGGATTTGACCATATTTTCTCAGATTTGACCATTTCCGAGCTAACCCGGGTTCGGGTCAACCCACGGTCCCTTCCAAAAAGATAATGTGCCATATTTTCCGCGATCTGCTTCTGACTCCGGAATATATTAACAATTATTACAAAATATTTTTCCGTTGAAATTATAAAACATTTTCCTGGGTACATAATAAAACAAATAATTGGAGAATATAAATGGGCCCATGGGCCCCAATATGTAACAGAACAAAGGCACATCTTGTGACGTGTACATCAGCCATGTTGATAAGAAAGAAAAATTAACTAGACATATATCAATAATTGATATTATTATTTAATGATAATTTATTTATTGTTGTTTTCACCGTCGGTTCGCTGTTGATCAATGTATGTAGGGGTGGCAGTCGGTCGGTTTCGGTTTAACCGAAAACCCGGTTATCGGTTAAACCGAACGACCCACTATAGTTACTGACCACCGACCGTAAGAGAGGTCCCGGTTAGCCGACCAACCGACCGGCCGGTTTCGATTTTAGGCTCGGTTAGCCGACCAACCGGAAAACTACCTCTTCTAACAAAAAAAAAAAAATTAAAAATGCAAAAAATATGCACCACTCGTCCACACCCACGACACCAAACCTTATCTTATCTCCTCCTCTTTCTTCTTTCCTCCACCAAACGTCCAAACTCCAAACCTTATCCTCCTCTTTCTTCCTTCCTCTCTTCTCGATTTTCTTTTTCTCCTTCCTCTCCACCTGCTGCATGCTCACCACGGGGCTGCTCACCACCTCCCGCTAACCGAAACCCATACCCAGATGAAATTCTTTACCCTTGCCGAAATTCCCCAATCCTTTCCCCACCACGAAGAAATTGAATCCATTCGTGGTCTGCATATTCGCCGGCGGGTTCCCCGTGTAATTGTACGGCGACGGTGGGTTCACCAGGAAATCGTCGGTGAAGATCCCCTGCAATTTGAAGTAATGGGCCTGGAGCAGAGCCACGGTGGGGAGGAAGAAGGAGACGTTGTTGATGTCGGCGACGGTCTTGGTCCCGTTGACGCAGGTCGGGCAAGGGTTGATTCCGACGCCAATTGCGAAGAGGAGGGAGTGGTCGACGGTTTGGGGCACGGCGGCGGGGTAATTTGGGGAATTGAGGCTCCTGAGGCAACGAGGGTGGTCGGAGGAGGATTGGAGGGAGGCTGAGTCGACTTGGAGGGCTGAGAAGAAGGTTCGGAATCGGCGATGCAGAGCCAGCAGAGGGCTGGAGGCGGCTGAGGATTTGGGGAATGGGGGCTGCTAGGGTTGGGGATGGGTGTTTTATGTAGGTAAAAACGGCATCATTTCGGCTTGCCGGTTAGCATCGGTTAGCCGGTCTAACCGGTGTCGGTTTTTCGGCTAACCGCCTAACCACGAGGCACCTCCGACAACCGACCGTGGTCAATTTTTTTCGGTTTCCGGTTAGCCGCTAACCGGCGGTTAACGGTTAGACCAGTCGGTTAGCCGCTAACCGGCAACCGAAATGACAGCCCTAAATGTAGGCCCAGTTTTCATGTCATATATGTGAGATGTTATGTTAGCACAGATTCCCCTTCCCATCTTCAAGCTCAGATCCATCCTCACTATACAACAAAGATGGACAACTAATCAACACAATAATTTATGAAATATTATAGTTAATTAAGTACTGATGAGATACATTACGACTGATCACTACGGTCCTTGCATCCCAGACTCCCACTAAGTACTTAATTAATTAAATACTTGCATTTCACCCAATAATATCTAACAACTTTATTTTCATCAGATTATGGAATGTAACCATTCTATGGATTTCCTTGCTAATAAGGCCATAACACGCACTTAGGATACTGTACCATCGATTACGACGATCAACATTTAAGATACTGGATGAAATATATGGTGTAACGGAAACCTGTGAATTTCGTTTTGTCACTATCCATACTGATTACTGCGCATAAACAACGAAGACCATAGAGAGTTATGATTAAACACCTGTATCTAGTAGATTTTATTAGATGAGTGTGTGTGATAACGATTTATTTTTATTGTCAGATACTACTTAAAGTATTCGAATCAAATATCTTGAAATTAAAAACCAGTCATACAACGTCTAGACCAATCAATTGCTCACTCATTTCAAATGTGATACGAGACATCACCATTTTTGTCAAAAATAATTGAAGCCACGTTACAAATTGCACTAGAAACAGGTGCATGTGGTTCTTGCATTGCATGGCACGCATTCCCGCCGGATCTTGTCTGGACCAGGTGCGTCCAAAATCGATTGGGTTTTGCACGTTTTCTCTAATGGGCTTTTTCTTCGGTCCCGTGTATAAAGCCATACTACTCTGTAAAGCCCAAGTCCATCAATGGACGGAATGTGCCTCTTTGGGCTACAATTAAGAGGACAACTACTTTTCAGTTATTTACAGTTTCATGTTATTTCTCGTCATAGTATTGTTATGATAAATGTGATATGATAACAGATTAAAAGGTTTAGGGCAACCTTGACTCCCTTCGCCGTTGTGATATAGAGAACTCACAATGTCCGGATCACCAAGACGAGATCTGCTCAACAAAAACTCAAGTGAGTACCGTACATAAAAATGTCTCGTTATCAAAAGAGTTTAGCCTGTAAAAAAAAATGCAGTGATTTTGACCATTTACAAAATCATAGTTAGAGGACGCTTCAGTCGTCATCATCTATATTACGACCTAAAAATTTGAACCCGGTAATGATCGATCTTTTTCGGTGGTGAAATTTTGATTCTCGCACATAATTTTCACCGGACTCGTCTAGATCAGGGTACAAAATAATTCACCTTGGTTAAGGAGAGCATTTTACCTCTATTGCTGCTGTTACCAGGGTAGAGAATAATTAACCTTGGTTAAGAGCATTCTATCTCCTTTGCTGCTGTTAAGGACAAAAGAAGGTGATGGTTTAGACTTTGATTAGGTTGGAGCAAAGACCAGATTTGACCGCCGGGGATCAGATTAATGCAGATCGCAAGCTGGATTTGTTTGCTTGCTTAGAGGATTGGTTAGAGATTTAATAAGGCGACATACGGCATCGTATTTAATTATATAAAATCACAACAGTGCTTAATTAAGTATCTCATTGGGCCACTCCTGAAATAAACCGACAAATCAATACAGCATAACAGAACGTAGAGTGAATCACCATCGCCATCTACTGTAAAATGGCCACTTGTCGACTCACAATGGCATGAGAGTTGCATTCGATCAATGGACATTAGTTAGTTCATCAAATATAAATTATATGATATTATTAAATAGCAATCACACAAGACACGAGACTTTCGTGATAAGTATATTTGAGTGTGGTCTTCTCATCAGTTTACCGTTGCATGACCATTGAATTAAAGTAGGACAAATTTGTAATTAAAGAAATAATTAAGGGTAGAAAGGTAATTTACCATCATGGATTTTAATCCATCACCCAAATCCCACCTCAAGAGGTGGAACTTCCAAGTCGGTGGGGTCCACGGATTTGGAACCCCAAAAGTGGTGGGCCCCACAAATTCCATCTCCCCAATTCCCTAAGGCAAACGATGGATTTCGGTTCAAGTCCATGATGAATATATTTCCATGACCAAATCCATCACCAAAACCCTCAAGCAAACGACCCCTAAGTGTTTTGTACCTGTAAAGTTGTAGTTGTATCAACAGACTAAACCAAACCGTAGTAAAGAATACAAAGTCTACATCGAAAAGTATTCAACTAATTTTTCAAAAACACGAAACATCAAACAAAATTATTTAGAGGGCATAATTCTTCAATTCCTAACACTTTCATAAGATGTGGTATCTGATATATCGTATTGGATTCTTAACATAAAGAACCCACAGATCAATTATGGAGCAGATATATTCATGAATTCTTCTAATCACGTACCACTTTTCTCGTATGAGCAAGCTACATATCTTTGTCAAATTGTGATTTTGAAGGATATAGGAGGCCTACTGGTCTAGTTAGTTGGGTACTACTTCAGATTGAATTTTGAGAATAAATTAATACAATTAAACAAATATGCTTTCTCAAATCATTTAAAAATTACTTTGATGCTGAGCTTTTGTTTAATATCGAACAACTAATAAATCTACCAGCCAACTTTCTGAATATCTATATATAAATTCCCAAAGTACATATTGCCAAATCCAATTCGATCCATTGGGCCGAGAGATTAAATGATTTAATTAATAAGGGAAAACCGTTTCAAACGTGACGTATTTCAGAGATTAAATGATATAATTCTGGGGGTGTCTCTGTAAAGCAGGTGATTAACTTTGTTTTTTTATGGGAAGGTGTCTAACTTTGCTTAAAAGTTAAAAGACAAGGTGATTAATTAAGTCATCAAGCTTTTGGTAACCACTGGATTTCGGGTTAACAAGTAAATGAATGGAGCACTATTCAATTAACCACCACGGAATGGCACCCACTAATGAGAGTTGCTTTAGGTTAATTTCTTTTTCCACAAACGCACAGAATCTTCATATAATTAAAAATAGTATTGATTTACCAACTTGGGAAGACAACTGCTTTTGGCGTTAATTATTGACCCATCAATATGTAAAAATTAAAATGTGAGAGTAGGCAGGTAGTCCAAACAATAAGCATCAAATCAAATTGAAGTTCAGTTAGTTTGGATGAGGAATTGTAACGGATTAAGTTGACACAATTGTCTCGTTTTGAGACAATTGTATCAAATTATCTCATTTGCCAGCAAATTTTTTGGATGAATCAATCTGCCTGAGGTATTTTGAATTGATCCGTTTTGAGTCAATTTCAATTATCTGGACTGGAGGCAGGTAATTCGAATTGACTCGTTTTAATTGCCTCGTTTATAAAACGAGACAATTGATCAAATTGACAATTTCTAGATTGATCCATCCAAACGACCCTTTAAGTAATGATTATCTATTTAATTACACTCACCTAGTTACCTATTGTTTGGTTTATTTTATAAAGTAAACGGTAAACATCAGAAAATACTCTCTAAAAAATGTGCCCATTGCTCACTAGCCAGATATGCCATGAAATTGCATGCAAGATCAAAATCGCAAAGTGATGAAAATGATATGAATTATAGTTCAACCCAACTAGATCAAACCCTAACAAGATTTGAAAATGCCCCTTGGAAAGGATCAGACAAAGAGAGAAATGAGAGGATCGGAATCCATGTCGAGTGAAATGGAACTAGTTCCACTATGCTCTATCCCGGGACACACCTAATATTTGGAATTTTTTTTATTAACCTTACATTACATAAGTGTATATATAGGATTTGAATACGAGATATATATATATATATATATATATATATATATATATAATACAAAAAAGTTTTATATACAATAAAATAAATTTAGCTGGTTTCATTACTTAAGAATACAGACTAAGAATGTCTTTGCAATTATTTTCAGATATGACACACATTGTGTATGCAAGAGGAAATGTGTATGAATCCGTTATTTCTTCATTTTCAAAATGAATTACTTGAATATCAATTTTAGAAAATAGTTATTCATATAATTATATCATATAAAGGACACACCTATTTTGATCTTTTAATTACCTCCGCTACCAAATCAACATGTGGTCAAAAAATTTCTATTGAACATACAGAATCGATACCTATACCTATTGCAGTTCCATCTCAACATTCATTATTGACTAGAAAGTCCACAATAAGATCGCATTCTCTACCATTGCACTCCATAGATTTAATTTGTTCTCCCTAGTATGTCGGTGGAACTGTTTAGCTATCGATGTGTGTTTTGTACAAAGTTTCTAAATAAATGTATTGAACCAAGTCATCCGTGTGCATGATTCAGAACCTTACCAAATTACTAAAATTCATCAACTAAATCGGAAATCAAGCCATGTTATCTTCATTGGAATCTTGTCGTCGTGAATCATGATAGTGCACTATTCTTTTATATTACTGTTATTCTAAAACACATCTGCAAAATACATGAATCGTTAATATCTATCACACCAGCCCAGCGGCCCTTGAACCAAAAAGTCCGAAACCACCCCTAGAAGCCATTACATTTCAACATGAAAGTACGCTTACTTGATCAAATGTGACAAGTTAGACAAAAGGGTTGGTGACATGAAT